TGCTTTAAAAGCATACATCTGCTCTTACAGTATTGCTCTATCTCTAGGAACATATAACCTAAGGACGTTCAATGGATTATTACTTATAATAGTGAGAAATTCATAACTGAAAATGAATAGCAATAGTGGATTGGCTTAATACAAATAGATAGGTTGTCCCAGACATCAGTGATCACCCAGGTATATATTAGACAAATAAAAATAGTTATAATGCATTGCTTAGAGAAAAAACTGACAGTTAAAAACATTTAATTTATTCTCAAAGAAGAAAGTTAATGAAATCCTTTCCATATTATTATTGTGTATTCTCTGACTGGGAACATGGTGGCTACGTAACAAAAGTACTGGACTGCAAACCACAAGGTCAGCAGTTCAAGTCCATCAGCCACTCTGCAGGAGAAAAATGAGGCTTTGTGCTCCTGCAAAGATTTACTGCCTTGGAAACCCTATACAAGGTTGTTATAAGTCAGAATTGATGGACAGCATTCAGCAACAGCAACAACTGTTCTCTGACTGCTTTGAGTAAATTGTTCAAAAGGACATTTAGTGTCAGAATCTGGAAGTGGAGTTGTGTCTGAGTGATCTAAATATTTTACTAATCTGCATCTCTGGTAGCGTAGTGATTATAAGTCGGGCTCCTAACCTAAGGGTCAGCAGTTCAAAGCTACCAGCCATTCTGCAGGAGAAAGATGAGGCTTTTTGCTCCCATAAAGATTTACAGCCTTGGAAACCCTATACAGGGTCACTATGAGTTGGAATCGACTCCATGGCAAATAACTACCAACCACCATAGTACAGCTGAGAAATAAAGAATAGGATGTAAGCATATCAAAGGTGATTTATGTGTAATGGCTGGATTGGATATAGTCCCAATGAAATGGTCCCAGGGAGTGGGATCCTCAGCAGGAGTAGTGACAAGCTCTTTTCATGATTCTCCCAGTCTTAGAAGTACATTTTATAGAAAGAAGATTAACCTTTGAAGACTCATTCTGAAAACAGCAGAGAAAAATTTGAGGGGTCTTTGTGGCAAATTTCCATGATCTTTAATTCCAATTATTAACGAACCCTTTGAAGTAATATGTGAACAACTGCCTGCAAGGATCTCACTGTTTTGGCTCAGCTGGTACTATTAGGTTACTTTCTTAACCCTAGAAAAATCCCATTGCTGGATACATCAAGTTCCAAGGGTCTCTATGTTGAGAATTTTTTTAATCCCTCAGTTAGTGCTATAGTAATTTCATTAAAGTCAAGGTTTTTACTCAGGTTTTACAAATAACATTTTGTTTTAGAAAATCTTTACCATAAACCTCTCTCACATTCATTGTTGTTAAGTGCTGTTGAGTTGGTTCCTGACCCATAGCAACCCATTTGTGTGAGGATTGTCCAGTAAGTAAACAAGCTATAAACTCTTCTTTCCAGAGTAGAGTGAAGTGAGGCAGTCTCTGTCTCACATTTATTGTTTACTTATTTCTGTGTGTAATATAAATCTCCTTTTCATCCATGGACTAGACTTCGGTTACTACCAGCCCGCCCCACCTTGCAAAAGTTGAATGGTGGATGATTCAGAAAGAAAAGAATAAGAGATGAGAATTATGCAGGGAGGTATGCAAGGGTTAGAGGGGATAGAGGTAAATAGTGATAGATACACAACCTTGGAACAACAGTGTTCTGTGGGTAGATAACATGGACAGAGACACAGGCTGAATGAGTATGGGAGGAAGAGTGGAAGATAACACAAATATATGAGCATTTGAAAGATGGTATTTGTTCATGAGTAATTTACCTTTCCTGTAAAGACGACTGTGAATATGGTAGCAACATACAGTAGGTAAAATGATAAAAACTTCTTAGATATTATCAAACATCTTAAGGCAATGAGTTACTGGGCTTGGGGCTCAGTATTATAGTCTCAGGGGACACATGATCAATTGGCATAACATAGTCCACAAACAGTATTCTACATCTACTTTGGGATCTTAAAATCTCAGGAGTGGCCATCTAGAAGGTGTGTTCACCATGGAATGGTCAATCAGTCAAAATCTGAAAAGGGCAACATTTACCTAAGTACCAAGTTGAGAAGGGATGGGAAGGTGGGTGGAATGGAAATAGGAACCACAGGGAGAAACTGGGATAACTGTTGTTGCATGAAGGGGATTGTAATCATTGAGATGAAACAAAGTGTATGATTCATCGAATGTAAAACTGATGATTTTGTTTATAAATCTTCACTCAATTCACTATAAAAAGTTTTCTAAAAAAAAAATAGTAGTAGTATGATGCAGAGACATCAAGGCCAAAAGAAGATAGTATTCTTTACCTCGTGACCCTTTCTTTAAATTCTAAGTGTACATTTTTATTTTTAATAGATATTATTTGCTTAATTGTTGTTGTTTGTTAAGTGCCATCAAGTCGGTTCCGACCCATAGCGACCCTGTATAGGGTTTCTGAAGAGCCTCTGATGAGCTCGAACGGCTGACCTTGCTGTTCAAACCAACTTTATAGTCCAGCTCATTAACCCAGGGCTCCATTATAATTTTTATCATTTAATCCGGTTCCACGGGAGAAAGATGAGGCTTTCTGCTCCCGTAAAGATTTACAGCCTTGGAAACCCTGTACAAGGTCTCTATGAGTCAGAACCGACTCCATGGCACATAACAACAACAACAATCATGAGCAATAAGGAGCCCTGGAGGCGCTATAGGATAAGCACTGGACTGCGAACCAACTTGTCAGTGATTTGAGCCCACCAGCTCAAATCTTTCTCCTTGAGAGAAAGATGAGACTTTCTGGTCCGGTAAAGATTTACAGCTTCCGAAACTCTATGCAAGTTAACTATGAGTCAGAACCAACTTAAAGACATGTATCAACAACAAAAGAAAGAATTACAGCCTTGGAAACCTTATACAGGATCATTATCAGAGTTGACTCAGTGGCAGTAAGTACAGGTATCGGAGAAGTAGGAATACTCCCCTCTCTGTTTTACAGACAAGACCCCAGAAGATTCAACACTTGGCTGGTTATATGTCCAATAAATAGCAAAAGTGGAAATTTGATTACATTTCTAACTCTAAAGCTTTCTAGCACAAACTGCTAATTGGCCTGGGTGTTAGATTAACCTGGGGCTAACTTTAAATTTCAGGCCTGTTACATTCACCTTTCTTGGCTTTTACTTTCTGTGGTTCCTGAGTTCTTTATTGACTTTAAGCAGTTTGTTTTATAGTGAATACTACTAGCTTGATGATTTTATGGCACCTTCACCCTTTGTTGTTGCTGTGAAGTGCCGTAGAGTCAGTTCTGACCCATAGCAACCCCATATAGGGTTTCCGAGGAGCAGCTGGTGAGCTTGAACCACTGACCTTGCAGTTCAAATGGCTTTGCAGTCTGGCTCGTTAACCTACAGCACCATACCAGGATTCCCTTTAGAGGTGTAGAAAAGGCATAGTGGGATGATAGGTTAAAAAACGTACATGTGTCCAACTACAGATTCACAAAGTAAAACAAAAAAAGTATGTGAGCATCAAAGGAGTTTGACAAACATGGGCTGGAGATTGTGCAGGTAGGACCTGGTCATTGTCTTTAGACCAAACCATTATTTCACTTCAAAGGGTTATTGTGCCTGAGTAGTTAGTTTTTAAGTATGTGTCTATCTCAAGGTATTGGGTTGTAGGAAATGTATATGCAGCTTTACTAGATACTATTTTATAGTAGTTTTCTTGATCATTTGATTAGAAATATTTTATAATTTTATAGTTTTTTAATTTGACTTGAGTTTAAAATGTATTTTTTTATTTCCAGTGCTGCAATAAATTTCCAAATACTGAAAACGTTCTGTCAAATTTTAACTTAACCATTGCTATATAGACAGATACTGTTATCTGTATCTTACTTCATTCTTTGATATTGATTGAGACTCTTGCTTTATAACTTACTATGTGGTCAAGATTTTCCAGGTTTGAGTCAGTTTTTATCAATATTCCACTTGGGATTGAATATCATTCATTGTTTGCGGCTATAGGAGTCTATTAATCTTCTCTAATTTTACTTATTACTTTGTCTGAGGAAGGTATATTAAAGTCTTCCCATTGTGAAAGTAAATTTGTCAGTTTTCCACAAATGTAACCATGTTCACTTTGCATATTTTGAAGAACAGTAAATAAGTATATTGTTGTTGCTAAGTACCATCAAGTTGTTTTCTGACTCATGGTGACCCTGTATAGGGTTACTGAGGTTTTAAATCTTCTCGGGAGCAGAAAGTCTCATCTTTCTCCCGTAGAGTGGGTGGCAGGCTAGAATCAGGGACCTTGGTTTGCAATCCAGTTCCTTGTTGTACATTTTGAATTGTTTTATCTCCCTGATGAGTTGTTTTTGTTACCATTGTATGATGATTCTTGCATTAATTTTTTTTTTTTTTGCCTTAAACTCAACATTTTTGGATATTACTATAGCTGTTATTGACTCTCTATTTATTTGTATTTGTCTGTGGTTTTTTTTTTTTTTAATACAGTTTAAAATTTTTTTTATTCCTATGTTTTCAGTGTGTCTGTCATAAATTATATTTAGTCAGTCTGGGGTTTTTCCTCTATTAGCTGATTAGTTTGTCGACAGTGATTACCATTTTTAACATTTTACACTTACTCTCCTATTTTTCTGCTGTCGTTTTCTTTCTTACCTATATTATCTATTGGTTTGTAACTTTCGTGTATTCCTTTTTTCCTCCTACTTGTTATCTTTAAATTTTTAACATACACCTTTGACTTTGCAAAGTCTATAACATTCTTTTGAACAGTGTAAAGACACACAATACAAGGACCTTAAAAAGCTTCGCTTCAGCCACCTTCTGCCAGTATTCTATGTTTTGATCAGTTCCATCTTGGTTTTTTGTCAGACAGATTCATCTTCATTATTGCAGTTAGTGCATTAAATCTTTATATACTAATTTATACTATTTCATAATAACTAACGAGATTGATTAAATGAGTTTTCTCATTCCTTTGCTTCAGATTTTCAAAAGAAACAACCAGACGATGATTCTGCTCCAAGTACAAGTAACAGCCAGTCAGACTTGTTTTCCGAAGAGACCACCAGTGACAACAACAATACCTCGATAACCTCGCCAACTCTTAGTTCCAGCCAGCAGCCGCTTCCGACAGAACTGAATGTAACTTCACCAAGTAAAGAGGAGTGTAAGTACCCAGATACTGTGAGCTGCTTGGGAGAACACCCCAAAACCCGTGTCATGAGTTACCTGGTGATGTCTAGTCCTGGACAAGAAACAGCAGTTATTTTAATGTAGAATAAGTATTCATATACAATTCCAAATGTCAGCAAGTTTGAGAATATCAGTTATTCCATAGATCTTATAAAAGATAGATAACTTTTTATATTAACTTTCAAGGTTTGAATCAGTCTAAGGCAGTGACTCAACCCTAGCTGTGCATATTAGAATCCACTGGAGATTTTTTAAACAATTTTAATATTCACCATTCCCTAAGTAGTCTGATTTAATTGGTTTGGAGTGAGGCCCAGGGATGTTTTGTTTCTTTCTTTCTTTCTTTTTTTTTAACTCTGCAGAGGATTTTAATGTAGTTAAGAATCTCTGGTCTATGAAACTTAACCCTGATTTAGGAACTTTGGATTGATATCTTAAGTTGTGCACAAACTAGACCTTGAATGTGTCTAGGTACTTAAGTGAGATAATAACACTACATTCATCCTAGAATATAGGGTATTTGAATGGAGGAGGACATGGTTTATGTCACTCTTTTGTTGTAAGTCTTCAGTTGAAGAATATTGTTGTAATCTCTGACCCCAAAGGAAGTTCATTGTCCACTTAATCATTACGATGCTAGAAACATCTCCATTGAGGTACAATAGTAAGTGACAGTATTTGCTATAAAATTGTGTGGATGTTAGTACATAGAAGTTTTTCACTTTTATTCAACAGGTAAAAGTTTAGTGTTTCACGTTTAATGAATATCTTGACATATTTAGAATGTGGGAAGTCGTAATGTTCTGTCTGCTAACTTTAGAAAGATTAGTTGACAACAGATGTTTATCCAAACCTGTACTAGTTGATATTGACAATATAAAAATAAAGGATATAGTTCCTGTCCTCAAGGAATTAATTCAGCAGGCAGAAATTAAATGTAATTGTTATTCTCAACCAGGATTGATTTTGCCCTTCCTCCCATCCCCTGGACATTTAGCATTGTCTGGAGACTGGGGATGTTGCTAGAGATCTTGCATAGCACAGGACAGCACTTAAACAAAAAAGTTTATCACCTGACACATCAGTAATGCCAAGATTAAGAAATCCTAATATATTATTTTAAGGAGCTCTGGTAGCATAGTGGTTATGAATCAGGCTGCTAATCTCACGGTCATCAATTCTAAACTACCAGCTGTTCTGTGGGAGAAAGATGAGGCTTTCTGCTCCTGTAAAGATTTACAGCCTCAGAAACCCTGTGCAGTCGTTATGAGTCGGAACTCACTTCACGGCACATAACAACAACAACAACAATATATGATTTTATTATACTGAACATATTAACAAATTTAAAAGGTGATTGAAGAAGGAATTGCCTTAATGGAAGAAATGGTGTTAAACATGGACAAAGGGAATGGGAAGGCATTGTAGACAGCAGCTCAAGTTATGAAAGTTAACCTGGCAGTATTAAAAATGAGAAGGATCATACTGAAATAACCTTATAGAAAGGAAACTTTAAAAATATGATAACTTATTGATTAAGGGTCAGGGTCAGGAATAGACATCATTTAAGAGAGGACTGAGATGAAAATGACGCTGGTAATGTTAAAGCAACTAGTTTTATTTTGTTTTCAAAAATATATTTGAACTTTACTGAAGAGCTGATTAATTTTTTTCTCAGAAAAATAACCATCCATATCCATGCAATTCTCCATAAAACATTACTGAACACTCACTTAACCATTAGGGTAAGAACTTCTGGTAGGTCAGAATCTCACCTATTGGAGTGTCGATTGGGCCTCATGTGCTCGCATTGTTGATATTGTTAGGTGCTGTTGAGTTGACCGTGATCCCATAGCAACCCTGTGTACAACAGAAAAAAATACTGTCCTATGCTCACAGTTTTTGTATGTTTGAGCCCATTGTCACAGCCACTGTGCCAATCCATTTCAGGTCGTCTTCTGTTTTGCTAATCCTATACTTTACCATGCATGATATCTCTTCTCAAGGATTGGCCCCTCCTGGTAACCTGTCCACAATAGGTGAGATGAAGTCTTGCCATTCTTGTCTCTTAAGGAACATTCTAACTACTTCTTCCAAAACAGATTGGTTTGTTATCTTTGCAGTCCATGGTGCTTTCAATATTCTTCACCAACAACATAATTAAAGAGCATCGATTCTTCCACTTATTTATTTATTTTTATTTAATGTTTTTATTTTACAGGGCACATCATCAGCTTCACATTTAACCATTCATATAGCTTGTTTCATTACATTGATTATTATCCCCTCCATATATCATCAGTTTACAGTGTTTCTCTCTATCCTCTTTAACTTTTTTTTTTTTTTTTTTTGTGGGGGTGGTGTGTGGGGAGGAACTTGCCTTTTTGGAATTTACAGTCTTGGCTTTTAGGGAAGGTTTTTACATTTTCTGTGGATATCCAGGGCTCATGTATGAGATTGCTAACAGGCATTACTGAATAATCAGATGAGGGACAGTTTGCTATGTCTACTAGGTGGCTAAAGTCTGATCCTCAGAGCCTGTGGTTTGGACGGTCAACAACGCTTGGGCCCACAGGGTCTTGACCACCTGACCGGGTCTGCACAGTCTGCATCAGATTCCCCCTTATTTATTGTTTGTTTAAGGGACGCTGCCTGTCTTAGGCGGTCAGTGCGAATTCCTCAGTCTTACCAGTCATTGAAACTCATTGCAGCATGGCAATGGCTCTGTCTTAGGTTGCCGAGGTACCACGTGATCCTTACTCGTCTCTGGCCACACGTCCAGCATAAACAGCCACCATCCGAGGAAGGCAGGGAGGGAGGAGATCGGCTGGGGACCCCATATGCAAGACGTTGCCAGCCCACCGCCTGCTCTAAGGTGACCAAGCAGGATCACTATGCTGAGGTTCAATCAAGTTCTTAGGGGATCTTACTCTCTAGCAGGGGTAGCAAATTAGTAGCCACTCAGTGCTCACTTTGAGAATTACTTATATCAGAAATTTGAGCATGTAGCTGATGACTATCCACAGACAAGTGGATATTATTCCACAACCTCATAAAATGCTGTTGAATTAAGTTCCAATCAAGTTCTGGATTACTGAAAGATAACACAAATCTACTTATATATACCATGAATAACCTTAGTTGGGAGTATAATCTGGATATATTGGGTCTTATTTCCCTGAAGTGATCTTCCTTTCTCTAAAGCATTTTAGTCTCTTTTGTAAACCTTTATCTATTTACTCTTGGATCGTATGAGTGAGACTAATATCCCTACACAGTTGATTTACATGGTGGGCAGGGCAAAGAAAGGTAACAATTCCTATTAGTGCAATGATTCTTGACATGAGAGCAAAGACACATGGCACGTTTAAGGGCCCGGCACCGCAATGATTTGCCTACCTTCTGAAAACTTTAACAGGCAATAAAACCTACGATGGTTGATGGACGATTGCAAAATCAGTAGCATCTATTAACTCCCCATTCCCCATGCCTGACAAGCAAAGCAGCAGAATGTCTCTGGAGTTGAAACAGTTCTCTAAGGGTTAAACAGTTCTTAAAGTCTTCTCTGCTGTGGAAACGGCTGGCTGGCTCCTTGGTGCTCTGATTCTTCCACTTATTATTGTTCAGCTTTCACATGCATATGAGGCAGTTCGGTCAAGTGCACCTTCGACTTCAAAGTGACATATTCTTTCCTATGGTTGTATACTAGTAGATGTCAGAGCTACAATTGAAATTCAAGCATTAGTGAATTTTAATAGACATTTGTGTTTTTATTCAGTTAATTCACAGTGTTAAATACAACTGTCATAGAGAATAGAAATATTTGTGTTGACAACAATCAGCACATTTTCTTCCAGTATTTAAGTGTGTGGAAACTCAAATCATAACCAAAAGTTACTTTTTTAATTCCATCCTGCAAAATCATTATAATAGGGACTGGAAATTAAATTATATCCATAGGACTGAAATATTTTCTCTGGAGGCATGCCTTTTCATAAGAAGTCACAATAATCATTCACATGACAAATGACAAAGTGTGAAGTCCAAACAAATGAAGAGAATTTTGAGTAGACTCAGGCTTGTTATCTGGTGTTATCTATGTATAGAGTTTTCAAGGAGCAACTGATAGTTTGAATAGTTAGGCAATTGCTTATTATATAACACCACAGCAGGACCGGACCCCTTAGGGAAGTCTAATTCTACAAACTTCAGATCCATTCTCTTTTCCTGGTGACATTATTTTTCTCTGTATTAAAACATTGTGTGTTCATCTTACAGTTAAACTTTCTTGACCCAACTTTTGAAAAAAGCCTGGTGCCAGGCTCTAGATAAGAATTCTGGAATCACACTGGGCATACTAGATAAGAAAATGCCCTTGACTTCATTTCTTTTGTAAGTTAGCTGTCTTGTCATACCTCATGACCTACTTGGGAGCTTTACAATGTACTTGCCTACCTAGGTTGCCTCTGTGTGTGTATTTTCCCAGTCCCACTAGCATATTGGATGGAAATTAAGGTGTTAGACAGGATTTGGCCGGTCTGTTTTCTCTATAGACAGGAGAGGGAAAGAACCTATACCTGCTACTAAGGAAGATTAATGGGGAAAAAAAAGAGGGGGTGGCTTGTTTTCAAATATTCTCACATTCTAATCTAGCATGGTCGCCAGTTTAAACCCACCAGCCGCTCCTCAGAAACCCTAGACAGGGTCGCTGTGAGTTGGGATCGACATAATGGCACTTATCAACAACAAACTAGCCATTAAAGAGGGCCTGCATGTTAAGAGTCCTGGTGTGGCACTGGGGGTTAATGCACCAGACTGCAAAGTCATTTGAACTGCAAGGTCAGTGGTTCAAGCTCACCAGTTGCTCCTCAGAAACCCTATACAGGGTTGCTATGGGTTGGAACCAACTCACCAGCACTTAACAGAAACATATTAAGAGGAACTTGTTGACATGAGGGGGGCTTCAAAAAGTTC